TTGGTAAATGCTTCGTAATGTTGTCATTGCGGTTGTGGTTTAATCTAACGATAAATGTAAATATATACTGTAACGAAAGGAATTAAAAATTAAAAATTTATGAAAATCAGTTATAGCTAAAAATAAGTGTTCAGCAAAAATTAGTGAAAACTCATTTTGTATCTCTTAAACAGTTGGTCCTAGGAGGCGGATTTTTAAGGCATCTAAGGCATTTTCATTCTCTTTTATATGAGTATTGTGATTATAGGCCTGAACTGAAGACACTTTTCACCTTCTTATTCGACTATAATATTTTCTTCAGTTTTAATTATTTTAGAAAGATTGTAGTTGTGCCTGCCACTTTCAAAACCTTTTCAGTGCCCCAAAATAAAAATGTAAAAATTATTTCCACGATAGTTCATAGTTTGAAGTAAATTTCAGAAGGTTTTTATTTGTGAAGGTGACTAATGAAAATATTTCTGGGCGTGTGTTATAACAAATGCATATATCACGTAATGAAATCGTTGACAAAACCATCATGACATAAAATATTTACTATTCTTAACATGTTTAGAAGGTTTTATCCACTTCGTCTGGAACAGCCGTGGAGCACCATTTCACAGAAACTAAAGATTTATGTCATTCTGCACCACACTCGAACAAAACACACTCATTGATTCGTCGAAATTCCTCTCGGTGATAAGTTCTCACATGATTACAGTTTTCGAGTGCTTCACAGATCAACAGAAATGGTTTTAAAGATGCATCTGTAGAAATTTTCCCACTATGACGTTGACTGAAAACATTTCCACCAATATTGTTCATATCAGCCATCCAAACTCAACAATGTTAGCGATTGATGAGTTGGTGTTGGTTTAGAAAGGACGAATGAAGACAAATATGCAGATAAGGTCCAGATGTTCAGAATAATTTGATGATAGTATACACAGAAATATGCATTATACAAATAGCTTCATTTGATTTTAAATCTCATAAAATGTTATATTTCTTGACATGGAATGTTTTAGTTGACACAAAAAAGTACAAATGCAAGCAAATCACGGACAAAATGTCATAATTGAACCAGCAAAAGTGTTTCCAAACCGATTAAATATTTGTGTGTTAGTTTATTAATATTGAAGGTAGCAATTTTTATTTTCTCGCCCTACTTCGTAGGGAAGAGAAAATATTGTAATCTTGATTCGGAAAACCACAATTTTTTTCTTAATGAAATCTGTTCTTCAAAATTAGATCTGAATAATGTCTTATAAAAATATTGAAAATGAAAGTATTTTACCCGTAATTTTGAGTGAAATAGTGACAACTTCATTACAAGCAAGAAAATTACACCAACAAAATTTTCACAATTCTGCAATACCGGTCATCTCAATTTGAGAAGTGAATTTTCTCATCGTCACACACCAAAATATACTGGGAAATTGCACAGAAAACACACAATAGAATCTCACCTCACCGGGGCCGCGTAATAGAAAGCTAACACGCTGACTAACAGCTAGCCACGAGCCTCGAATCTAAGGGAAGTATAGAGAATATTTTTTTGCTTCGGAAACACTTTGCAGGTCCAAGATGTTTTATAATATTACGTATCTGTTACAAATAATGCGAGAAAGTGCTGAAGCATCTGTTGCTTGTTTTCGTATAACGTTTTTTACAATAATGTATTCACAACACATAATTAAGTAGCTGAATCAGAAGTGCCCCAAACAGAACGGTACACTTTGTTATACACGGACAAAAGGAAATATAGGGCAGATAAACGCAGCAATATAATTGTATTGCTCGTTAAGGAAATGTAGACATTTGTTATATGCTGTGTGTGATTTATAAAACTTTACATCCCGGAACGCGCCCCAAATTAAGTATTAATAAAATAGGAATATTTTTATATTAATGATATAATTTAATAATTATAAATCATATGGAATAACAATTAGTAACAGTGGTAGCACTATGTGAATGTAATGAATATAATAGGAAATAAAAATTACGAGTTTGTAATGATATTTTATCATTTTTACAAATACTTTTATTACCTTCGTAGAAATGAAACAGTTTAGTGGAAAAATTATTTAATTTTCATTTTACGAAAGTTTGGTCGAATTAAAAGCCGAAGTTGCCAAGTGTTTGGCCTCTTTATTTTGAATGTTTGTAGTGGTTGTTTTCCTATTATATTTCCGGGACGCTGTTCCCGTCGAGTTCCGCCACAATTCCAGGCCTGGTTATATGGTTATTACTGTTACTTGTTTTTGACCTTTCTAAAACAAACGCTTTAAACTTTTTTTGAAATTTATTTGAAGTTTCGACCCCAATTTGGTCTCTTCAAAAAAAATTAATCTCAGCCCAAGAAGGTAAAAACATTGTTAAAAGTTAAAAAACATCGAATTACATTTCGTTTAAATGTTGTCAATATTAAAAGTCGGTGGATAAAAAACTAGAAGTCCATGAATATCAAACCAAGCTCTTGAACAACAGCTCAGTTGGCGGAATTCGAGTCATAACATAGCGAATTATCGTAAGATGTTGCGCTATCGACGACTCTATTAATAATATCCGATGCGCGCAAAAGCGCATTGGAAAAAAAACATTGAGCTGTAAAACAATACAAGTGGTGTCTATGGTTTCGGCAGCTATCTATAGACTCTCGAAAATCCGAAAACAATTAAAATTTCAATTCTGACTGGAAAATGCTAATATTTGGTAGTTTTCAGCCAATTATGGTACTGCGCGTGCTGACTGAATTCTCATAATCATTGAATCACTGTCTACGATACAGCTATCATGCGACTGTTATTGTAGTATTCGTGAAGACTGTTTTTGTTAATATATTTAATTTATTGTAGTGATTGATTTGATTTATTTCGTCAAAGAAGAGTAAAACCGTATGCGACATACACGTACGGGGAGAAGTATATTTCGCGCACGTTTTCTTGCGCAGAATTTCTTCCCAGCCCTTTTACTATACAAAGTTATTTACATTGTTATACAAGAGTATTTTACCGCCGTTTGTAGCTCAGGGTATCAACTGTTGTCACCGCAGTGCTCTGACCGCGAGGTTCTTGGGTTCGAGTCCTGTCGGATGCAGCGTTTTCGACACTAGCTGTATTGCTAGATAGAAATCAGCCGCTGTCTGGAGGAGAATTCAAGCAGCCTGCTGGTCTGATCGATAGTTTTCCGTAGTTCCTCCAATCAACACCAGACGAATGTCGGGGCAGAGCCCTAACAAACGGGCAACGAACCGCACGGGATCTTTCCTTCCTCTTCCTTGTCCTATCCTCACCCCCTTGCTTAAACACACTTACTAATACACTACCGTACGTCGGGGGACCAGTCGAGAGCTTAGAGCTTGTCCCGGCTGAAGCGGTGTCTCGCTGGTGGGAGAACCACGCGCAGGGTTACCAGATGAGAAAAGGTGTAAAGATGGCCGTGAAGATGGCACCGCCGCCACGGTGAAAAACACTGAAACCATTACCATTCGTTTGTATCTCGTTAGTAACCATTTGTACATTCGTTTCGTCCATTCGTACACCAAAACCACTTACAAGCTACAGCACTTTCTATTGTGGCAATGCCAACTTCTCACTGGCACCGCCACCCTCGTAAAAAATGGAAACATTGCAAATCGTTTGTACCAAATTGTACCACCAGAACTATAATTTGTATCAGAAAATTAAGATACACCCATTTTAAGGTGGCAGTGAGAGGATCAGTACTAACCATCACACAAAGTGCGTCACCATCACCGTCAAAATGAAACCATACTCAATCGAGTGTACCTGGTTAGTAGTAGTAGTAGAAGTCCCCCCCCCCCATAGGACTTGAAAAACCGTTCCGTTTCGGCGTACAACAGGTTCCATTTTATGCTCTGTGAAATACCATACAAACTTCACGGGCCAGAGACATTTTCCGGTTAAGGCAGGTTTCCGGCTTGTCCAGGTTCCTGTTTGGACATATTTTACTGCACCATATAAGGAACACCAAGCACTGTTTCCTTCATGCATAAACAATGCTGAAGTTGACACTTTAGTTCAAGTTATGCGTGGTATTGATGACGTGTTCCTTCCTATTTATTTCTACCAGTCTAACTGTGAAAACAAAAGTCCTCATAGAAACGTACGGCTTAGGAGATAAGGAGTGTGAAACGAAGCGGAGACAAATAGAAACTATCGATTTTTAACATGCTAAGAACCACGATGCAGCGTTGGCACAAGGTACACTCACTTAGTGTCAAAAATATTGCAGTAAAGAAAGTAAGCAAATCTAATTTTTGCGTAGAAAATAGTTGACGATGCTTGAAAAGACGATCGCTATTTCAAACATGACAATATGAACAATTTGCTGATTTTGGAAAATAAGTAGAGACTCCAAGTCAACCGCTAAATAAACGGACATGTCCTGCTAAATACGGACATCTGGTAATCCTAACCGCGCAATCAACCACGGTGCCAGATATCATCATTGAACGAGGGAAAATCACCGCCACTTCCTGTGATAAAATATGCAGTATATTACGGGACTAATTGCCATGGAAACATTAATTAAACAATCAAAGAAAGAAAGAAAGAAAGAAAGGTAGAAATAATTTTATCTGTTGTTCTTGAGGATTGGGCGTTCTTCTTTTTAGCAAAACATTTTAGGAATTTTTATTGAGCAGTATTTTCGCTGCTGAAGGCCACTAGTATTGTAGTAAATTCATTGAATATCTTTTAATTTATATTAGGCACTTTGCCAAAATTTAAATCCCCAAAATGTGAAAAACGGATGTGGATGTAATGAGATTAGAAACGAGTAAGAAATTAGAACGACAGTGTGGTTTATTTATTTGCACGCTTGCTGTTGCTTTCGATTATAGTAGTCAAGTAGGGCTAAGTGGTCAGACAAATACCTAAATCATTGATGCAGATGCATGCATTCATTGTTTATTTTGTTAGGTAGATTTACCAGTATCAACTTTCTCCATCCTCAATTCAATTTTTTCACTAACATAAACTTTTTTGTTTCAGATTAGCTCAGTCTGTTAAATTAATGATAGCTGTTGCTATTTTCTTCACATACGGACTTCAGTTTTACGTCCCAATGGAAATAATTTGGAAATCTATGAAACACCTCTTTGGATCCCATAAACTTGCTGCTGAATATAGTGTGCGAATTGTTCTTGTTTTGGCAACAGGTAAGTTAATAATTTGACTGGAATGTGAGTACTGGCTACAAACTCTTGCTAGTCCAAACCGTCTATGCACAAGAAAAGTTACACTTCTCAAAAATCGTCAATTTTTGGTGAAGTGATTGAATATGGTTAAAATAGTCTATTTCTACTAGAAAACAGTGGTGCTACAACAGCTTAATTGACTCTCTGATCCATTGTTTTATAACAGTACATTCATATTGTTTTCATGTTATTTGTAACGTTCTATAATACTATCCTACTGCAGTTATCTATTATTCTATCCTACTGCAGTTATCACTTGAAATGCTTGTAATCAAACGAAACACAAGAGATCCCAGATATGTAATCTAATGTATATAATTTTTAGAAAATTCAAAATCTTAAATTAAAAATGACTTTTTGACATTGAATCCTGCGTGTTGTGCTCTATGCATACAAAAAGTGTTTAACAAACTATTTGCCCGGGTGGTGATCTGAACTCGAGCGCTAAAACTATCGAAGAAATCTTTCCGATAATCAAACAGCTGTACGTGTGAGAGTAACAGAATCACGTCTTAATGTTGTGTTTCTAACAGATAAAATACGCAATGACTACGCTAAAAATACTTTTAAAAAACGTCTTCATGATTTAAAGTCCTCCTATATTAAGAAATAGATTGCTTTAAGAACGAAAGAAATATTAAAGTTGTAAAAAGATTCGAAGACATTGAATTATTGCAATTTTCGAAATTCTAGAGCTACAAATGCATATTGTGGATGCTCAATATTACTAAGCAAACTTTGTTGTATTCAAGCATAAAATTTAAAGAAAAAATGGAAATTTTTTTAGAAAACCTTATTTGCGTTTTTTGTCGCAATTTCACTAGAGAGTACGCAAAAACTGCTCATTTTCGAAACATTGCAGCGGCATTCAAATATTTAATTTTGCCGAACAGATTTCACTAAGAAACATAATCTACCGCAAATAATGTAGTTGTAGGACAGGGGCGAAAAGTTTTTAACTTTTGTACTTTTCGAAATTGCAGAGATTTTACTGAAAATTTGTCATGTGCCGTTTTTATAAGTCAATTCTGCTCTTAACGATTTTTTTTTTATTGAATCACCTTTTGCTGAATTTTTCAAAATTTTTCAAAAAGTATTTTGTGATGTATCGCGTAAATTAATAAATCCGTTTCGAATTTGAATCACCCTTATTGACTGGGAATATCAATTTTGGAGAAAATCCTGTGTACTGTTCCGGCGTTTGTGTTTTCCGACGGTCGGACAGAAGGACTGATTCACATTTTGAGAAACGAATCACATTTTGAGAAACGAATCACCCGAAAGGCATTCCGAAACTTATATTTTAACAATACTTGGGAATTCTCTGTAGAGAGTGTTCGAGAAATTAAAAACTCATAAAGGCAGTAGTTCACAAAACAGTCAGTATATTTAGTCGAATACTCTTTGGGCACGAAATTAACGACTCCGTTGAGGAAAAAGATTATCATCCTGTAAAATCATAATTTGTGACGTGTGACACGTTCCTTGTGCTCCAACGATGGGTGGAATGCTTTCTTCTTGTAATTAATGATTCAGCTGATGTGAAATGACTTCATTGTATTTATTTCATTAGTTTTTTCCTTATTCATTATTTTATGACTCTCCACTCGTGAACAACTGGTAATTTCTTTCAAATATTTTTATAAAAAACGCATTTGTGTTAATATTTGATTGCCTCATTATATTCTGTTAATTTAAACACAAATTGCACACCCCCTTTGCAATAAAAATAGATGTTAAAATAATGTAAAGGTGTATCTATTTCTCATGTTATGATTGTCTTATTAATGATGAATTAGTATGAATATATATATATATATATATATATATATATATATATATATATATATATTCTTGGATTCTTGTGTTTTTGTGTTTGTATCAAGAATTTGAAACATATGGTTTCCTTTCTTTCAGTTGCTGTGGCTGCTGCAATTCCCAACTTGGGCCCTTTTATTTCCCTGGTGGGTGCAGTATGTCTATCAACACTGGGTTTAATGTTTCCTTCTATTATTGAAATAGTAACATATTGGGAGAACCCTGGTCTTGGCCGTTTAAATTGGCGACTGTGGAAGAACATACTGATTATTATGTTTGGTATTCTTGGATTTGTTACTGGTACCTATTCAAGTATTAATGATATTATTAAGGAACATAATAAACAATAATATGCAGGATATGTACTTCATAATTCACACTATTAAAATTAATTTGGCTCAAAATTGGTTCTTTGTGTGAATTATTATGTGTCAAGTTAAAAGGATTTACGTTCTCATCATATACAAATGTTTACACCATCTATATACCTTTCCTATTATTCTTCCTCCACATGAAGAATAAACATATCTCAATAAATAATGCATTTCTTTAGGAACAAAGATCTGATATTAATATGGCTTAGAATGTCAGTATTTGCCTATTTTATTGTAGAGTATAATGAAAGTTAAAGTAAATAAATGTTTATTAAAATTATATCTGTCAAGAAAACCACTTCTTTTGATTTTCTGGCATAGTGTGTATTCTAGACAAACTAGTGCTTGAAGTTTTCTTCGAAATAATGGAAATATTATTGTGATGTTTGATGTCGTTTGTAAATATGGCATTCGTTATTTCTTTCATGTATAAATTGAAAAAATATAATTCTTATTTATGAATGAATTTTTCATCATTATCAGTATGATCGTACGTGATTGATCAAACCAACTTCACTGGCATGCCCAGCTTTTGCGCCACGAAATATGTCATCTCATAAAAAAATCGTGTGATATAACTCGACTTAAAAATGCTGTTATTGTCTGCGCTTCACTTATAGCTTTGTACATATCTACATTTTACAATAAATTGAGAGCCCGCCATATTAATCATACGACTATCATTTCGAGCTAATTTTACTGCATGCCAGTCGAACTGTATATGCGTCACATGGTTAAAATGTCTTTTCCTTTGTCCCAGGCTGCTTCTCCTTGCTTCCTTTATCCCGCATAGAAAGTAAAAACTGCCTTCAGGGGCGTCCAGTGGTTGGGGCAGCTGTGGCAACTTAGACAGGGTCAATTTATACAAACAGTTCTTCCTTCAATATATAT